TTTTTTTTTTTTTTTTTTTTTTTTGGAGCAGTTCTTGATGGCTGGATGAGCATAAGAGATCAGCTTCTGGAGTAGCAATACTTTCATCAGTTGTGGGGTAGGTGGACTCTATGCAGGGTAGCTGAGCCATCTAAACGGACCTCACCTATGAAGAAAGGAAGAATCCCAACAGAGAGGCTGGAGATGTAGCAAGAAGTCAGCAGAAATGCAAACCAGAACTACATTGAGGTATCATCTCACACTGGTCAGAATGGCTGTCATCAAAATGTCTACAAACAATAAATGCTGGAGAGGCTGTGGAGAAAACAGAACCCTTCTACACTGTTGGTGAGAATGTAAATTGGTACAACCATTATGGAGAACAGTATGGAGGTTTCTTAAAAAACTTAAAATAGGGCTTCCCTTGTGGCACAGTGGTTGAGAGTCTGCCTGCCGATGCAGGGGACACAGGTTCGTGCCCCGGTCCGGGAAGATCACACATGCTGCAGAGCACTGGGTCCGTGAGCCATGGCTGCTGAGCCTGCGCGTCCGGAGCCTGTGCTCCGCAACGGGAGAGGCCACAACAGTGAGAGGCCCGCGTACCCCCCCCCCCAAAAAAAAAATCTAAAAATAGAACTACCATATACCACTCTTAGGCATATATCTGGAGAAAACTCTTAATTCAAAAAGATACATGCACCCCAGTGTTCATAGCAGCACTATTTATAATAGCCAAAACATGGAAGCAACCTAAATATCCATCAACAGATGAATGGATAAAGAAGATGTAGTACTTATAACTGGTGGAATATTACTCAGCCATAACAAAGAATGAATTAATGCCATTTGCATCAACATGGATGGACCTAGAGATTATCATACTAAGTGAAGTAAGTCAGACAGAGAAAGACAAATACCATATGATATTGCTTATATGTGGAATCTTAAAAAATGATAACGAATGAACTTACAAAACAGAAAGAGAGTCACAGGCGTAGAAAACAAACTTTTGGTTATCAGAGGGTAAAGGGGATGGGAGGGATAAATTTGGAGATTGGGAGTAACATATACACACTACTATATATAAAATAGATAACTAATAACGACCTACTGTGTAGCATAGGGAACTCTACTCAATACTCTATAATGACCTACATGGGAAAAGAATCTAAAAAAGAGTGGATATATGTATATGTATAACTGATTCACTTTGCTGTATAGCAGAAACTAACACAACATTGTAAATCAACTATATTCCAATAAAAGTTAAAAAAAAAAAGAAGTCAGCAGGAGAGGGCAATGGCCTGCATTAGGGCGGTGTGCAGTAGAGTGGAGATACCTGAAGGACCCACTAACCCCTCCCACAAAAGAGCAGGCATTAGGACAAAGCCACAGGCAACAAAGAGCATCAGCTAAATACAAAGGCCTTTGCCCCTTGTCATCTCATTGGTTCTCTCCCTACTTCAGCTCTGGAGTTGTCAGAAACAGCCTTGAGATCAGAGGAGTGGAAGAGCAAGGAAGAGGTTTTGATTTCAACAGGACTGGGCAATTTATTACCTGAAATGAGTCTGTGCTTTGACTGCCTCAGAGTGACTGAAAGAGTATGCAATCTTCCTGAGGTGCCTTTCAGGAGAGGGGCAGCAAGAACTAACTGACAGAGTGTACTTGAGGGTAGTAGAAGAAAAGTTGTTTCCTGATTGTATCCTGCTTAGTTCATCCCATTCAGAAGACCAGATACTACAGATTATATGGGTTCTAAAACCCAAAGGATGAGTTCCAGAGCCTCAGACCAGACTTTATTCATTTTTTTGTTACATGTATATTAATTGAGCCTTGGGGTTAGAGCAGCCAAGGAAAGATGTACAGTCCTGCCTTCCAGAGAGTATAATCCAGCAGAAGAAACAGACATGAGTCAGTAATTGAAGTCCTGAGAAGGGCAGGAGGTGAAGGAAGCACACAAGGTACATCTCAGCCTCATCTGGGAGGTAATCAAGGGAAAATTCTTAGAGAAAGTGATATTTAGGCTTGGGCCCTAAAGAAGAAAAGTTGACGTGAAAGAAGTAAAAGGTAAAAGTTGGAGGCAAGGGAGGATTAAAGGGATGCAAAGGCCCTGAGGATAGAAAAGAAAAGTGCATGGATCACTTGAGTTGGAGGAAAAGGCAAAGTGGTGGGAGAGAGTGGTATGGGGGTGAAGCTGGCAAGGTAATCTGAAGCCACACCAGGCCTCGTGGGCTGTTGGAAGGATTTTGGTAATAGGTGCCTCCATATTTAGGATTGCTACAGCTTCCTGGTGAATTGACCCTATTATCATTTTGAGATGTCCCTTCTTATCTCTGGTAATACTCGTCTTGAAGTCTACTTTTTCTGATATACAGCCGCTTCAGATTCCTTATGCTTACTACTTATGGAATATCTTTAGAGTTAAAATATGTCTTCTGTAGAGAGCACAGAGTTGGGATTTGTGCTTTAAAATCCATTCTGATACTCTTTGCCTTTTAAGTGGAGGGTTTAGTCCATTAACATTTTATGTAATTATTGATATGGTTTATTACAAAGAACACAATTCAGGAACAGCCAGATGAAAGAGATTTAGGGCAAGGCATGGTGTGTGTGTGAGTGCTTGG